TGTTCAGTTCATAACTGGAAAATAACTTGGTCTAGAATCATTCAACTTGGACAGATGATACACCATGAGCAGAAGATGTGTCACATTTATTAAGGTCACTGCATTTTTTAATTAAGGTGATATATATTTTTTAAAAAATGCATGTATTATGACACCCATATATTTGGTCTGGCTGTCTCCCCATCAGTCTTCTTGTCAGTCCATTTGTCCTTCAACAGTTTATTTTGATATGATAACTCGAAGTCTAACAGTTTTCTATGAAATATTTTATACATAAGTATTTTACCATAAAATGAAGACAACTATGGATTTTGGATCTCTCTTTCTGTCAGTTTTTCTGAAAGTCCATTTGTCCTACTACTATTTTGTTGTAATCACATTATGTGATAACTCAAACAGCTTTAATGTCGCCAGCTTGGTGCAGTGGTTAGAGCATCTGCTCTAGAGAAGTAAGGAGCTCAATGCTCAATGGCCTTGATTATAGGTGTAAATTTGCATTCCTCTATTGGCTAGTGGTGTCATCTCCATATGAGTGAAAAATTCTCAAGAAGGACGTTAAACAATAAACAAACAGCTTAAACAAATTGTTTTTCTAATTTTGTATGCCATGGTAATATTTGTACCATGAGATATCCTATAGTGTTTAGGGTCATTATACGCCCGTCTTTAGATGGGACGTATTATGTTATGGCGTTCATGTCCGTCCGTGTGTCTGTCTGTTAGCTTTTCACGTGTCCGGCTCATAACTGTAATACTATTGGGCCTAAGATCATCAAACTTTGTCAGCTGATACTTCTTGGGTAGAAGGTGTGTCGCGTACTAAAAGTAGGTCGTTCTGACCTTTAAAAAAGATGCTATGGCCAAATATAAAAAAATCCTGTCCGGCCCATAACTAAAGAACTATTAGACTTAGAATCATCAAACTTGGCCAGTTTATGCATCTTAGGTAGAAGGTGTGTCGCGACCTATTTCAAGGTCCCTGTGACCTTTAATTTAAGTGAAATTTAAAAAAAACTGTCTTTTTACTATTAAATTACACAATCCCTAAAAGTGTTGCAGTATCCTTAATTGCATTAATTATTTCTACAAATAATTTATCACATAACAAAGATACCCTGTTTTAATTTTTATTTTCACACAAGAAAAATGTGACACTTCTTGTGGATGAATTTCTAAAGAAAGGTTGTGTTGAATGACATGAATAAAATTTACGAAGGAGAACCATGTAAACACAAACAAGTTATATTAATAGGCGGTAAAATAACCACAATATTAAATTAACACGAATGCTAGAAGACTAATAGGATTGTATTTCCAAATGTAAACCTTACTTTTACAATCTTATAACCAATTTTATCATAAAAACTGAAGTTATTACTGTATTTCAACATTTCTTCCATATCATATTTTACTGTATAGGCCTACAACGCTTGATCATATCTCAATCGTAGTGGCAACAGAGCAAGTTACGGTTGTTGTTTAGATGCACTAAAACAATGCTTAGATATTGACAATTTGAAAAATATTCATATAAATTCATTAAATCCTTGATATTTCTTTAATTGACTGAAAAAAGATGAATTTGATTTCCAGCATGAACATGTTCGACGGTGTCTAGTCAATTCGAACCCTGCTCTATTCAGATGATGGCATAATGCCCCAGACTGTAAATTTGACATTTTGTTTAAAACTTAACATTTTTATTAGTCAATTATTTTACCTACTGCTATCTTTAAATTAAAAAAAAATGTTTTGAAATTGTTTTTCGTGTTCAATGCCATTGAAGCCTTTCAAGCTTTTGATTTTTTCATTATACATGTATACTTTACAGCAATCTATATCAAATATTATGTTACAAGAGAAATTCCACCTCTCCCATGGGTGTAATTATCAAGCACTGGTCAAGGAGAATTTTGATAACAGAAAATTGCATGTCAAATTAGAGAGAAATTAATGAGTTTAGTGTGAGGAGCTTACTGGTAGAGCATCTCTGAGGCCATCATTAAAAATATCTTTGTTTCCCCTAACCCGACCCTAAAATCTGCAGTTAGGTAGGTAGGTAGGTAAATAATTTTTTTTCCTGACAGCAGCTTTGAAAATACATTCTGATTTTCTGATAAGAACGGGTTTTGATGAAATTGTATTTGATAAAAGTTGATAAACTTTATAAAATGAAAAATATTTGAATAATCTTCTTAAGAAAAACTTTTCAGTTCGCCGGATTTAATTGGGTCGGTCGCGTTAGGGGAAACAAAGGTATTTTTTATTTTGACCTGATCAAGCAGGTGTTATATATATCTCTTTGGAATTGGGCAGAGGATTCAGCCATGTTCAAATCATGACCCCCGGGGTAGAGTAAGGCCACAATGGGGGATCAAAGTTTTACATAGAAATATATAGGAAAATATCTTTAAAAATCTTCTTCTTAAGAACAGCAAAGCCATGATTGGTCATATTTATATGGAAGCATCTTCAGGTAGTGTAGATTCAAATTTGTTCAAATCATGACCGCATGGTGGTAGGGTGGGGCCACAATGGGGGATCAAGTTTTACATAGAAATATACAGGAAATTTTTTTTTTCTCAAGAACAGAAAAGCCATGATTAGTAAAATTGATATGGAGGCATCCTTGGGTAGTGAAGAATGAAATTTGTTCAAATGAGGTACCCTGGGGTTAGGGTGGGGCCACAATGGGGGATCAAATTTTTACAAATGAATATATGGGGAAAAATCTTCTGCTCAAGAACAGCAATGCCATTTGTTATATTGATATGAAAGCATCATCAGGTAGTTTAAAATTCCCCCCCCCCCCCCCTTCGTTAACTTTTCAATACTAAACTGATTTTTGCTTTTTTTTTTCCCTAGCCAATGTGCTCAGGTGAGGGATGTGGCCCATGGGCCTCTTGTTAGCTCACCTGAGCCAAAGGCTCAAGTGAGCTTTTCTGATCAAAATTTGTCCGTTGTCTGTAGGTTTCGTAGTCGGTGTCGGCGTCGTTGTAAACTTTTCACTATTTCATCTTCTTAACCAGAACTACTGAGCCAATTTCAACCAAATTTGCCACAAAGCATCCTTGGGTGAATTGGATTCAAGTTTGTTCAAGTGAAGGGCCACGCCATCTTTCAAGGGTAGATAATAAAGAATTAGTGAAAAATTAATAGCATCTTTTAAAAATCTTCTTCTCAAGAATCACAGGGCCAGGAAAGATGAAACTCCTCTGGAAGCATCCTCAGGTAGTGTAGATTTAAGTTTGTTCAAATCATGACCCCGGGGGTAGGGCGGGGTCACAATGGAGGATCAAAGTTTTACATAGAAGTATATAGGGAAAAATCTTTAAAAATCTTCTTCTCAAGAACAGCAAAGCCATGATGAGTCATATTTATATGGAAGCATCCTCAGGTAGTGTAAATTCAAATTTGGTCAAATCATGACCCCAGGGGGTAGGGCGGGGCCACAAGGAGGATCAAAGTTTTACATAGAAATATATAGGAAAAACCTTTAAAAATCTTCTTCTCAAGAACAGAAAAGACATGATATGTCATATTTATATGGAAGCATCCTCAGGTAGTGTAGATTCAAGTTTGTTCAAATCATGACCCCCAGGGGGTAGGGCGGGGCCACAATGGAGGATCAAAGTTTTACATAGAAATATATAGGAAAAAATTTAAAAATCTTCTTCTCAGGAACAGCAAAGCCCTGATTGATCATATTTATATGGAACTATCCTCGGGTAGTGTAGATTAAAGTTTGTTCAAATGATGACCCCCGGGGTAGGGTGGGGCTCAATGGGGGATCGAAAGTTTTACATAAGAACATATAGAAAAATATTTCTTCTCAAGAACAGAAAAGCTATGTTTAGTCATTGATGTGGAAGCATCGTCAGGTAGTGTAGATTCAAGTTTGTTCAAATGATAACCCCTGGGATAGGGAGGAGCCACAATGGGGGATCAAATTTTTACTAAGGAATATATGAGAAATTTTTTTAAAATCTTCTCAAGTACAACAAAGCCATTTTTTATATACACATCGAAGCATCATCAGGTAGTGTAGAATTCAAGCCCCCCCCCCCCCCAAGTAATTTTTTCAACAATGAACTGATTTTTGCTTTTGCCTAGCCAATGTGCTTAGGTGAGCCATGTGGCCCATGGGCCTCTTGTTAAATTAGCGTCCCGCGCCCATCACCTTGTGCAGTTAGGAATTGGACAAAATTTTTACATCACTTCATTTCAACATCTTCAAAATAGCGTTTTCTTATCATTATGTAGAACAAAGAAAAGAAGATGATATATTAAACTTTTGATCTATGTGCATATTTTAATGTTTATTTATTGATAAAAGTGTGTTTTGAAGCAGTGAAGTCAATACACACTGGTAAATATCGTTAGTGGCGAGATGTTCAAGATCCTCACGTGGCCTAATCTACAGAGTTCATGAGATCTAAATGTGGCAATCTAAATATTCATGAATATGCATGAAACTTTCCAACCAATCAGATCTAGGATCTCTCTACAACATGGAAAACGACCTTCTTTTGGCATTTCAAGGTTTAGTCTAAATATATGGGATACTTAGAGGCTTCAAATAGAAGTGTAGGTTGTATAATTTATCAGAAGAGCGAATCAAGGCACCATAAATATACCCTGAGCACTTCATGTGTATCATATTTGGATTGTGCTGTCCATCCATGATCACTCTTTGCATTTAGCTAAATTTCAAAGAAACTATGAGATATTTTATCAAGCTATTTTTGCCGATACATATTAATGAGAGGTACATGTATTCAAACACATCAGTTATTTTTTACCTTAATCTTTCCTTTGACCTTGACCTCAGTGTTATATATTTATGATAGTGTATTCAGAGAAACCAGACTACATCTGCATGCAAGCTATGCTGATATATATTTATATATAATTTAGGTCACCTTAGAGTGCAGTTTAAATACCAAGAGGCCACTGGTCTATTCCTTATCAGTTTTTTTCAGTTTTAGTCTATTTTCCAGATGCCAAAGGCAAAGAAAATGTCTGCCAGAAGGCGACGGTTAGCTGACAAGCTAAAGAAAAGAGAAAAGAGGGAGAAGCATAATCAAGATTCCCAAGATTGTACACGAGCTTCAGAGCCAGAGTCTGTTGTTCCTTGCGGGACAGCAGATGGAGCTGAGTTAGCTCCTCCCGGTAATTTTCCGGGGCAAGGCTCCATGGGGTTGCCGCCTTTTGAGGAAAAACCCCTGGCCAGGGTGCAGGCCTCACCTCGAGTGAAAATGCATTCACCTGCCCCGAGGTTGCCATCTCCTCGGGGAAGTCGTCTGTTTGTCCGTAACGAGGACAAGGCACCGTCCCCTGACTCCCCAGCGTGGGTTTGTGCTCCACCGAGGGCACCTGGATCAGGCATAGTGCATATGTCTGGTCCAGCAGGTCAGGCGCAGCTGGATACCTCCAGGGAGGAGGAGACCAGTAGGATATCAAAAGATGAGGAATTTTTGACGGATATTAAAAAGGAATCTGAAAGAAATACTCATGGAATATTGAACAAAGAATGTGATATATCAGAAACTATAGACAAAGAGAGAGATGAAATAGAAGTTGATGAGAATTTAACAGAGTTAAGTGATAATGAGGCTGTTGAAAATATTTTAAAGAGGAGACATGAAACCTGTGTGAATCAAAATAAGAGCAAAACATATGGAGGAGAGGTAGTTGGAAATGTGGTTGTGGAAAGATGTGATGAAGGAAAGAATCGAGAGAAGTTGAAGGTGTATAGTGTAGAAAGAGAAAGTACTACGTCTAGTTTACTTGATAGAAATGTTGAAGAAAACACATTTGAGATGGCTCAACCTACTTCATATTCTGTTTCTGTACAGGGTTCTTTTCATCAAGGTGATCCATTGTTTGGGGAAAATGCTGGAACACAATGTGTTGCCAATTGTTTGGCAGGTTTAGCATATGGTATCTTGAAAAGTCCCATTATTTGGCAAACATCTGACATGAATAAAATTCTAGTGACTGGAGATGAACTGTATACATATCTGCAACAAAGTTCCGAAATTACAAGCAGATACCTGTTAGTAGATGAATTGCCACAGTATTTTGAAAGCTACAGCAAAACATTTGAATTCAAAGTTAAACTTGCTGTGTCTAGCTTAATAAGTTTATCAGATGAGGAACCATGTTACGAGGATTTCAATGCTTTTCCCCTTTTTGAGGCTCTTCAAATGGTGCTTGTGGGAACAAATGGATGTTTTGTATGTTTTGGAGGAAACACTCTCTTAGTTGGGAGAACCAGTAAAGGTTTTTATATATTTGATTCACATTCACGGTGTTGTCAAGGATATATTAGTGTAAATGGGAAGAGTACAAGAATTCTGGTAAAAAGTGTATATGATGTTTATTTGCACCTTGTCTCTTTAGCTCTATCTATGGGCTTTTCAAGAATTGTTGAATGTGAATTGACTGGAGTAATGTGTTCACTGAAGCAATTTGATTTTGCCCCATTAAAGGAAGATGAGGATATGCAGAGTCATTCAGACACAGATGTACTAGGATCAGCACCAGGTAATGCTTTGTCAGAAAGCAGAGAAAGGTTATATGAAAGTGAAGTAATTTTTTTGAGTGAAGAGAGCAAAAAACACAAGTTTATCCCATTGAGTATTAAGAAACAAGAGGAACTGTGCAGAAAATTGGGTCTGTCATTTTCTCTTACGGGAAGGGACTGTTATGCAGAGTCTTTGATGGATATGGGTGCACCTACTCAATTTAAAGATATCGCGAAGGATGGAAATTGCTTTTTCAGGGCTATATCATTTTGTCTGACAAATTCTGAAGACCATCATCAGTCAATTCGAAATGCTGTGTGTCAACACTTACTTCAGTATGAAACTTGGTTTCAAAAGTTTATGAGGTGTGAAGCAGAATCGGTAAGGGCCTATTTACTTCGGAGCAAAATGTCGCAAGAAGGAATATGGGCTACTGAATTGGAGATATTTGCAGTGTCAGACATGTTGAATGTAGATATATTTACCTACTCGGACATGAAGTGGCTTCAGTTCAATGGAAACAAGCAAGATGTAGGATCAGAGAAACAGAAGGAAGGTATTTACCTATACCATAACCAACAGAACCATTATGATGTTGTGTTAGATGTTTCAGCTAGGTTGTCTGACAAGCAGTATCAGCCTCAAAGTATGAGTAAGTCTTATCTGAGAGAGTATGACTTGCGAAGAGGAAATCGAATTCGAATGAGAAAGAAACGAGGCAATTCAAATGTCAAAATGGTCTCAAACTCAAAAGAGAATCGCAAAAGCGCATTGAGGAGGAAAAAGTACCATGAAAATGAAGTGTTCAGAAGAGAAATGTTAGAGAACAAAAAAAAAATGTACTCATGTGCAGGTTTTAAGATGAAAATACAAACTAGAAATAGAAATCGGTATCATGAAGATGAGGGGTACAAATCAAAATTGAGACGACAAAGTGTCTGCAAATATGCCACAAACTTGATTCATAAGCAAGATGTAAAGAAGAGAAGTGTACTGAAATATTGGATAGATGCAGAACATAGAGAAAGTGTCAAAAAAAGAAGTTGTGAAAAGTATAGCACAAATAGGGAACATAAACAAAATGTGAAAAATGCAAGTACTGAAAAGTACAGGATGGACTTGAAACACAAACAGGATGCTAAAAGAAGAAGCACTGAGAAGTACAAAACAGATGAAAGGTATCGAAAAAAGAACAAAGCTGCTAATGTTCACAGGTACAGAACAAATGTGAAGTTTAAAGAAAAACAGCAAGAGAATGCTGCAAGAAGATATAAAACTGATAGCACAGTTCAGGCAGCAATGAAGAACCGAAGTAAGATTAGTTATCAGTCATCCTTGCAAGTAAAGGAAAATAAAAAAAAGAGAATGAAAAAGCAAAGGAAGTTGAAACAAGTAAATTTACAAGATGAAGAAGTTGTTGTCAAAACATTTAAGGAAAATGCAGGAAAAGGTCCTGAGTATGCTTGTTGTTGTTGTCACAGGCTTTTATTTAGAAACCAAGTTCAAGGCTGCGAACATCAGATGTATGAACAAAGTGAAGCATCTCGAATGATTTCAGATATTTGCTTGCAAAAAAAGTATATGCATGAATGCTTTGAATTTTGTCGAGAAACATGTTCCAGATCATCACAATGGATTTGTTTCACCTGTCATAGGAAAATTTTGAGTGGCAAAGCTCCATCTGAGGCTGCTGCGAACAACTTGTCATTGGAGGACATTCCACCTGAGTTAAACAATTTAAATAGTTTGGAACAACACCTCATTGCTCTTCATATACCATTTATGAAGATTATGGCTCTTCCCCATGGTGGACAGAGAAATATACATGGACCCATTGTTTGTGTACCCTCTGATGTAACAAAGGCTACCCATTTACCTTTGCAACAGGATAAGAACTTACTGCTACGTGTTAAGTTGAAAAGGAAGTTGAATTACAAAGGCTACTTTGAATATCAATTTGTGAATACAAGTAGTGTTATGACAGCCTTAGCATATTTAAAGGAAAAAAACCAGTGGTATAAAGATGTCAAGATTGAAACAACTTGGGAGGAAAATGATAATCAGGAGGAAAATATTGAAGATAACACAGAGACCATTACTGACAGAGAAGAAAATGAAGAGCAAATGATTGCATTTGATACATGTTTACAGCCTGTTGATGTTGCACAGGAAGTTTTAGATCATTATTTTGATGATGTGTACAATATTGCACCTGGTGAGGGAAGAAATCCAGTTCGAATGTTACAAGAACCAGGAAATGAGGCTAAATCATTTCCATGCCATTTTCCAACTGGGAGGTTTTCTTGGAATGAAGAAAGGTCGGAAAAATTAACACTTTCTAGATATTTCAATAATAGGCTAATGAATGCCGATAACAGATTTGCGAGGGATACCAGTTACATTTTCTTCAGTCAGTACATGTCTGAATTAAACCAGGTGATAGAAAAAACTCAAATTTCACTCAGAAAGTCATTATCTAAGATTGCTAGTGGTAAATCAGTGACAGCAAATATGCTACAAGATCCAGGCGTCCTTTCTAGTTTGCTGAGGAATGATGATGCAATAAGATTTATGCAACCAATAAGGGGAACGCCAGCATATTGGGCAGCTGCTCAAAAAGACCTGTTTGCTATGCTTCGGCAGATAGGAATCCCTACATGGTTTTGTTCCTTTTCCGCAGCTGAATACAGATGGAATGATGCTGTTAGAGTTATATTACACCATCTGAATGATGACAGGAATCCAGAAGAAATGGACTGGTCAGAAAAGAATGAAGTTTTGCGGTGCAATCCAGTTACAGTGGCACGAATGTTTGAGCATAGATTTCACACTTTTCATAGAGAGGTAATACTTTCTCCAGCAGAACCAATTGGAAAAGTGGTAGACTATTTTCAAAGAGTTGAGTTTCAGCAGAGGGGTTCCCCACACATGCATTGCTTGTACTGGGTTGAAAACGCACCCAATATAGATTCTGATGGGGAGGAAACTGTATGCAATTTTATTGACAGATATGTAACATGCGCTTTACCCTCGGAAATGGATGACTTTGATCTTAGAAAAACTGTTTTGGAAGTTCAACAACACAGTAAGAAGCATTCAAAAACTTGCAAGAAGAAGGGTACAGAATGTAGGTTCAATTTTCCCAGGCCTCCATCTCAAAGGACTTTCATTTCAACTCCTCAAGATGATGAAAACTTGGAGCATTGTGAAACAGAAGCTGTAGAGAGAAAGATTAATAAGGCTTATGCAAAAGAGATACTGCTTAGTGTATGGGACAAAGTACAAACAGATGGTGAAGAAAACTCTTCAATAGAAGAAATATTCAATGATCTTTCCCTAACTCAGGAACTGTATGAGGAAGCCCAGAACACTTTATTAACCAGGAGGACAGTTATTCTGCAACGCACTCCAAATGAGATGTGGACAAACCAATATAACCGTTGTCTCCTAAAATGCTGGGATGCTAACATGGATATACAGTTTGTTCTAGATCCATTCAGCTGTATTGTGTATATTGTTTCTTATATTTCAAAGGCAGAAAGAGAAATGGGCATGCTACTAAAACAAACAAAGTTGGAGGCAGAAGAGGGAAATTTTGATGCTCGACAAACAATGAAAAAAATTGGGTCTGCTTATCTACATCACAGAGAAGTGAGTGCCCAGGAAGCTGTATATAGAGTGTGCAACTTGAAGATGAAAGAGTGCTCACGGAAAGTTGCTTTTATTCCAGTTGGTGACAATCCTGTGCGCTTAAGTAAGCCATTGTCTCAGCTGAAAAAGAATGCGAAAAAGAGCAATGGAATAATTGATGAGGGCAAAAATGATGATGATGATGATGATGATGATGATGATGAAATTTGGATGACAAATGTTATAGAGCGTTATGAGAATCGTCCAGATAAGTCGGAGTTTCAAGGCATGTGTCTTGCAGAGTTTTGCGCCGAATTCAGAGTTCTTTCTAAATCGCAAGTCCCAAAGAATGAGAACAAAAATGTTTTTGAATTGCAGAATGAGAAAGGTTATGTACAGCGGAGAACAAGAACAAAACCTGCAATTATTAGGTATCCTAGATTTAATGCTGAAAAAACACCAGAAAAGTATTATCAATCTCTTCTGCAACTTTTTCTTCCATACTGGACAGAGATTCAGCTGAAACCACCCGGGTTTGCTTTGTTTAAGGATTTTTATGAAACAGGACATGTGAAAATAGCAGGAAAAAGACCATTACAATCTGTGAAGTCAATTGTAGACTCTAATCATTTGTGTTTTGCCAAAAATGAAGATGTCATAGACAGAGCTCAAGAAGCCTATGAAACGAATGGTGACCCAGAGGATGCATGGTCAAGCTTATGTCCAGAAACTGAGGTGTTAAGAGGGGAAGGATTAGCAAATAAAAAGGAAAACCAAGTACCCCAGGAGGATGGTATTGATAGTATACCTGAAATGGAATCTGACACACATAATGCAGATGTGCTGTATCAAGTTCAACAAATTGTAACCCCCAGAGATGAAATTGTTTCTGTACTCCAAAATCTGAATGAAATGCAGCACAAAATATTTTACTTTGTGCGTAACTGGTGTTCAGCAAAAGTTGCAGGAGAAAAATGTGAACCTTTGCATTTATTTGTTACTGGAGGTGCAGGAACAGGCAAAAGCCATTTAATTAAGGCGATTCATTATGAGGCATCCCGTTTGCTTTCCAAATTAATGTCTGAACCAGAGAGGATGTCGGTACTTCTTTCAGCATTCACAGGAACTGCAGCTTTCAATATTGGGGGAAACACGCTTCATCACTTATTTTCATTGACAAAATATCTCCCCTTACCATATGAACCACTGAGAGAACAGAGTCTTAGTGAAATGAGAGCAAAGATCGGTGATCTTCAAATTCTTATCATTGACGAAATATCAATGGTTTACAAAAGACTGCTGTATTATATACATGAAAGATTGGTACAGATCAAAAAATGCAAAGAACCATTTGGAGGTGTAAGTGTTATAGCAGTTGGAGATTTTTACCAGCTCCCTCCAGTAAAGCAGCGGAAAGATGAGAGACTTTACAAAGAAAATATGGTTTATCCACTAGACTACTGGCTTGACCTGTTCCAAATTGCAGAACTTAATGAAATAATGAGACAAAAAGAAGATCTGTCATTTGCTGAGATCTTAAATTCTCTTCGTGTAAGACAGGCAGATGAGCCATTGACACAAGAGCAGAATAACATGTTAGATGACTGTATCAGAGATGGACCAGAGGATGCCCTACATGTGTTTTCTACCAATGAAGAGGTTAATACCTATAATTTGTTAATGTTGAGGAAATCCTGTGATAATCTATTTGAAATTAAAGCTGAGGATTATCAGAAGGACAAGACATCTGGAAAACTGACACTGAAAACAAATCCTATCACTAAATCAAAAAGTGATGGTCTTCCAAGCTCCTTAATTTTGTCTGTCAATGCAAGAGTTATGCTTACAAGGAACTGTAATGTGGAAGATGGACTTGTAAATGGAGTGATGGGATATATTTCTCAGTTTGTTTTCCGAAAAGGTAGTGCCACCGACATAAAGGCAATCGGAGTAATATTTGATAACAAGGAAGTTGGAAAGAAAAGAGGAAGAAAAACAGATGGAGGAAACATGGTACTAATAGAAAGAGTTGAAGAAGAAATGAAGGAAAAGACAAAAACAGTCATTAGACACCAGTTTCCATTACGACTTTCTTGGGCATGTACTGCTCACAAAGTACAAGGTATGACTACAGACAGAGTAGTGGTAAACGTAGATAGAGTGTTTGGTGCTGGCCAGGCATATGTAGCATTATCAAGGGTTACATCAAAAGATGGGTTATTTATTGAAACAGAAAATCCACATCTACTGAGCAAAAAGATTTATGCTGATTCAGAGGTAAAAACAGCTACATTTGAAATGCCAAAAGTTTGTTTTCATGATATTGATGAAACTGATGTTTCAGGTGGGAAAAAAATAATTTTACACAACATCCAAAGCTTAGGAAAACATTTCCAAGACCTGAAAAATGATAAGCGATTCACTCGAGCAGATATTATTTGTTTGACAGAGACATGGCTTAGGCATGAACAGAACACTAGAAATTTAGAACTTCAAGGGTTTCAGTTTCATCACCTTCCTAGAGAAAAAGCATATGTCGGAAAAAGTGTCAAGATTCAGAGATTACATCTGTCTAAAGGAGGAGGAGTTGGGTTGTATTTAAAAGACCAGATGGATTGTTATAAGATTTTGTCACTGTCTGAGATGAATATAGAAGCAATGGCTGTACAATTATTGAATGAAAACATTGTTCTTTTGACGGTGTATCGTCCAAGCATGGTAGACATAGATACCTTTCTTACGAATCTCCTTAGAGTGCTGGACTTTTTATGGACAATTTCTCCAGATTGCATTGTCATAGGAGACTTCAATGAGGATGCTAAATCGAATGGCCCAATACAAAAGTTCATGAAGGATAAACACTTCAGACAGCTTGTAACTTTTAAAACAACTGAAGGGGGGACCATTTTAGATCATGTATATGTGTCCAGTGAAATATACATTGAAGTTTTCCAAATGCCAACATATTACAGTTACCATGAAGCTGTACTCATGAAATTTTATGAAGGATAGAATTGATTCAAATAGTTCTCAGTCAGTGCCCTTACAAAAAATGAAAATGATGAGGTGTGTAATATCACTAAATTCTCCAAGATAACTTTTTGTCATTGGTCTATTTGGCCTCTATTTCTATCCATGGAGAAAGACCTTTGAGACCATCTTGTGTGTTGTAAGTATTAGTCTAGATTAGTCATTTTCTTTTAATTGGTGTGTTTCAAGTAGTGTAAAAATCTGTTTTCAATATTTTGCATTTTTATGTTCCATGTTCTTGTATATTTAGTTATAGTTCTTCGTGATAAAAGTAACATTCACTTTTTTCCAATCATACTACACTGCACAGTCTCCATGTGTATATAAATTTGTTTTCAAAGTTCAAATGAAATAGTGCCTTGAAGTAACATTTAACACATGAACATTTTCAACAATACATGTATTAGAGTTGTCTGAACTATCAGAAATGTAAGTATTGCACAATGTTTTTCAAAGTGAGAGAATGAAAACTGAAGAGGAGCTGTACAAAATTTCAAAGCTCAGACATTTTTAATGATAATTATAATTCCTAGAGATGTAAATACTAAAGTTATGTTTTCTTTAGTTTTGAAGGTATACAAAAGCACTTACTTCTAAATGTATATAAAAATATATCTTGCTCAAAATCCTACTTCCACCTCCCCGTGGTGAGCAGGGGGCAACGGACATATGTCCGGCTAACGGAAGAGGTATTTAATTTTTTTTCCTTATTTATTTTCACTATAAATTATTTAAGGAGCCTTAATACAGTATATAACTTAAAGTTCTATTTTTGTGATATTTTTATTCAGTTAGAGTGATCTACCCTTAGATCTAAAAAAAATCTACAGTGTATTAATAAATTTGTAAACAAATAAAGCATTCTTATTGGGCAAAGATAAATTAATTGACCACTTTATTTGCATCCGTTTTCTCCATTTAAGTAAGCAATAGTGATTTCTTTTCATCAGAACTTAACATTTTTCCTGGGGATGAAGTAGACCTGTACACTATGATGATATGAACTACTTTACTCCACATTTACATGTTCATAAAATTTCATTTTCTCAGTGCCCCCAAACATTTTTATTAGTGTATAAAGGGTCTTTAAAACTGTGAACATTTTACCAATATGAATTTTTTTTATATTTGTACTTCATAGACCTAGATTTTACTTTCAGTTTTAATTGATATATCACTACATCAATCATGTCAATTGCATCATTAGTTCTTGTGCCATTAATTCGAAACAGGTTACCTCAATACTAATTTCACATTGTAGGAATTAAACATCATTGATTATTTGTTAGATAATGCATTAGGTTAGAAAATTAAGCTCCTAAAGACATAAATATCATGACTTTGTTTAATGCCAGTACAGTTCGGAAATATGATATCAAATGCACCATAGTGCTGGAAAACGCAAATTGATATCTTTTGTTTTATTTTAGGTATGTATAACTATAAAACTAAGGTTCTTGTTTGTAGATAGAAATAGTTTACAAACTAGAGGTTAGAGTTGCACAGTGGCAGTGAGTCTCATCATTTCATTTGAATATACAACATATGTGCATTTTTGGCAGTATGTAAATGAGTTTAGGAAAATTATTTTAATGCATTAAGAAAATGGGTAACCCTTTCATTGATTATGAATTCTGTGTACTCTTATAGGAAATTCAAAATATCTTTCCAATAGAAATATAAAAGTAGCTATGTGCAAAATGGCACTTACAATCTGAATACGATTTCATGAAAATTTCATTTAGTGGTGTATAAGGGATATAAAGTAGCATATGTGATGTGATCGTTTCTATTAGTACCATGTTTCCTCCTTGTGAAATGCTTTTTCATTTCCGAGATATATGGAAAAGAAATATCATGGGCCGGCCCTTCAACTCCTTAATAGGACGTTTAGCAAAAATTGAAAGATAAAATATTGCTAAAAACATTATTTTGAACGTCTTTTGTTAAGTATTGATTACCAAAATATTTCTCCTTTTCGAGATGTATTGCCCAAAATATTCGACATTCTGGCCCCATATGACCCTTTATTGCGTAACTTATGATGCCAACGTCATGTTACATAGTTAAGGAGTGTGAAGATACTCTATGTTGCCTCAGTAATGTATTACAAAATATTGATCGTTAAAGAGTTATTGATTAACACTCTTGGCCCCTATCAGCCCTTATTTTGTTATTTTGAAGGGCCAGTCCCCTTTTCTTGATTTCAACTTAAAGCTCTTATGATTTTGAACACTTTTTGTTCAACAACTATTCAGAAATTCTTTTTCGTTTCCGAGATATATGCAAGAGAAATATTTAGGGACCGGCCCTACAACTCCTTAATGGGGACGTTTAGCAAAAATTGAAAGGTTACATATTGCATGTTCAGAACATTATTATAAACATCTCTTTTTTCAATATTGCTTATCAAAATATTTCCCACTTTTGAGATATAAAGTATCAAAGATTTTGTAATCTAGCCCCTTACGGTCCCTAATTATGTAACATATGATGTGAATATAATAATATAGAGTTGTAAATTGTTGAGATAAACATTTTTGCTTCCATTATATATTACAAAATATTGATTTTTAAAGAGTTATTGATTAAACACTTTCGGCCCCTATCAGCCCTTTTTCGTGATATCATCTTAAAGCTCTTACGATTTTGAACACTTTTTGTTCAACAACTATTAAGAAATTTTTTTTTGTTTCCGAGATATACGCAAAAGAAATATTTAGGGGCCGGCCATTCAACTCCTTAATGGAGTTTAGCAAAGATTGAAAGGTTGCATATTGTTCAGAACAATATTTTGAACATCTTTTGTTCAATATTGCTCATCAAAATATTTCCCATTTTCGAGATATAAAGCGTCAAAGATTTAGCATTCTGGCCCCTTACGTTCCTTAGTTATGCAACAAATGACGTAAATATCATAATATATAGTTCTGGACTATTAAGATAAACATTTTTGCTTCAGTAATGTATACCAAAATATTGATCATTAAAGAGTTATGGATTTAAAACTCTTGGCCCCTAATATGATTAGTCAGCCCTTTTTTCTTGATATTATATAAAAGATACTGTAATTCTACACAATTTCTGTGAAATATGCTTTAAGAAAATATTCATAGTTTTGAAGATATGATAAAAAATGTCTCTAAAATTCACTCATGATTCATGTCCTAAATTTCGACCCCTACCGAGCTTCCATATTAGGCACTTCCGGAAAATTTGAAAACCGAGGTGCACAACTACTACATGTCAGCTATCATCACTGAAAAGTTCAGCACTCAAGCTTTTGTCATTTTAGATCTCTGAGAAATCGTCTGCACAAAATTTGGACAGAAAAAAATAATTATAACGAGATATCTGCAAAAGAAATAGTGGGGCCGGCCCTTCAACTCCTTAATGGGAATTTTTAGCAAAAATTGAAAGGTTACATATTGTTCAGAACATTATTGTGAATATCTTTTATTCAATATTGCTTATCAAAATATTTCCCACTTTCGAGATATAAAGCGTCAAAGATTTAGCATTCTGGCCCCTAATGTCCCCTTATAACGTAACATATGATGCCAACAACATGTTATATAGTTAAGGAGTGTGAAGATGATCTATTCTGCCTTAGTAATGTATTACAAAATATTGATCGTTTAAGAGTTATTGATGAGAGACGTTCGGCCCCTATATCAGCCCTTATTTTGAGGGGCCAGCCCCTTTTTCTTGATATCACCTTAAAGCTCTTATGATTTTGAACACTTTTTGTTCAACAACTATTCGGAAATTCTTTTTCGTTTCCGAGATATATGCAAAAGAAATATTTAGGGGCCGGCCCTTCAACTCCTTAATGGAGACGTTTATCACATATTGAAAGGTTACATATTGTTCAGAACATTATTGTGAATATCTTTTATTCAATATTGCTTAGCAAAATATTTCCCACTTTTGAGATATAAAGCGTCAAAGATTTAATATTTCGGCCCCTCACGACCCCTAATTATGTAACATATGATGTGAATAACATAATATATAGTTGTAGTTTTCTCAGATAAACATTTTTGCTGCAGTAATATTTTACAAAATATTGATCGTTAAAGAGTTATTGATGAAAGACTTTCGGCCCCTATCGGCCCCGATTTTGAGGGGCCAGCCCCTTTTTCTTGATATCACTTTAAAGCTCTTATGATTTTGAACACATTTTGTTGAACAACTGTTCAGGAATTCTTTTTCGTTTCCGAGATATATGCAAAAGAAATATTTAGGGGCCGGCCATTCAACTCCTTAATGGGGACGCTTAGCAAATATTGAAAGGTTGCATATTGTTTAGCACATAATTTTGAACATCTTTTGTTCAATATTGCTTATCAAAATATTTCCCACTTTTGAGATATAAAGCGTCAAAGATTTAGCATTCTGGCCCCTTATGGTCCCTAATTATGTAACATATGAGATTTTTATCATAATATGTAGTTGTAGATTGTTCAGATAAACATTTTTGCTTTAGTAATGTATAACAAAATATTGATCGTTTAAAAGTTATGGATTTAAGACCTTTGGCCCCTCTTGGCCCCTAATGTGACAAGTCAGTCCTTTTTTCTTGATATCATAAAAGAGATCTTATTATTCTACACAATTTCTGTTCAATATGTTTTAAGAAAATATTCATAGTTTTGAAGATATGATAAAAAATGTCTCGAAAATTCACTCCTGATTCATGTCCTAAATTTTGACCCCTACCGAGCTTCCATACTAGGCACTTCCAGAAAATTTGTAAACTGAGGTGCACAACTAGAACATGTCCTCTATTATCACTGAAAATTTCAGCACTCTAGCTTTTGTCATTTTTGAGTTTTTGTGTAGACAAAATGGTCACTAAAAATTCGATTAAAGGGCGATAACTTCCGAACGGAAGTGAATTTCCAAAAATTAAAAAAAAATGTATTAGGTTTACATCATGATACACCATCTCTGAAAATTTCAAGTGAATCCATCCAGCC